TATCAGAAGTTGCACTTGATCAAACAATAGGTTGCACTTTATAAAAATGTTAATAATTATATTTTTTATACACATATATTGAATAATAAATAAAATATTAAATAACCATAATATAATATTAATATAATGTAATAATAAAATAAATAATAGATAAAATATTGAATAACTAAATAAATAATATAATGTAGTGCATTTTATATAACAACACTTTATATAGAAGTACACTGCACTTTATGAAATAATACGTTGCACTTTATAACACAACACGCTGCACTTTATCAACACGCGCCACGATTAACGTCAACAACTCCTGCGAAAATATCACAACAACATAAATATGAAAAATGGATATACATATTACTTTAACATTAATCACAACATTTATCTACACAAAAAACAAACATGTAAGCGTACCAAAATTAATCACTTCACTTTATACATCAACACGTTGCACTTTATAAAATAACAAGTTGCACTTTACGAAACAGCACGTTGCACTTTATCATGACTATCAGAGATCGAAACTGTCCGAACTTTAATTTTTTCAACCAGAAATTATATAAAAAATTATTAACGTTTTAAACAGTATTTTCTTATAACATAGAGTATAATTTAATTCAGATATTTTTGTTAATTCGGCTATCTGCCCGGAAACCAAGTACTACTATTTGATTTAACTTTTCCAAAGTTCGAATCGATTATTTCAATCTTAACACAGTCGATTCAACCGAGCTAACGAATGAAAATTATTTCAATTTCTACCACACAAGCATGTGGCAAAATTATAGTAGTTCAATTTTATACTGCATGATGTTGCACTTTATAAAATAATCTGTTGTACTTTACAAAACAGTACGTTGCACTTTAACGGGCTATTAGATTGCACAATAGAAAGTCAACCGAACTCGAATTTTTTTCAACCTAAAATATTAAAAATAATAATAAATAAAATTATGGACACATTAAATATATATTTGATATAAATAAAAAAAATCATTTCAATTATTTGAGATAATACAGTTTACCAAACCGAATATATTAATTAATTATGTTCATTTTCAATTTGACTTGGGACAAGCGTTCGGTTGGTTCAATATGCACAATACAGACCGACATCGTGCACCATAGTGTTGGACGAGATGCACTTTTTTAATTGATAGATTGCGTAGTATATTTATTTACGTATATACAAATTTTTTTAATTAAATAATAATATCAAATATTAATTAAAATGTATATAATACTATTAATAAAATTTATGAAAAAATTAAATTGAATAACCATACATATATTATTAATTATTTATCAACATTCTATACTTAATAGACATCAATAAATTATATAATTAATCACCAATAGTGTTCTGCTCAATTGCTCAAAGAAAGCAGGTAACAAGTTCACCATTGAAATAGGGCTATTTTTTCCTTAATTTTCAAATTAGTCCCTAACCTTGTCTAATTTACAAAACAAAGCCCCACAATTCCCAAAAACAACAAAAAAAAAAAAAATTAAAAAATCAGCCTCTCGTCCTTCAACTGGATTCCCGTCGCAGCTGACCATGTAAGCGGCCGTCGGTTCGTGATGATGACCGTCGGGTCGAGCTCGGCGGCGGCGGCGGCCTCAATCGAGACGCTAGCTAGAATTTCTCGACCACCGCACAGTCATCGGAAGTCGTCCGGCCACGGCAGCGGCAAAAGGAAAATTGTGGAAGCACTGGTGCGAGAGAGGGAAGAGAACGATGCCGGCGGAAGGAGGACGCGGCCAGCGGGATGAGAATGTGTACGGTGGGAGGAGAAAATGGCCGGCGCCGGAGATAAGTGGAGAGGAATCCATTGGTGTGAAAGAAATAGAGACAGTGCGAAACTGGGCGGAGGGCGGCGGCGGAA